TTTTCGACCACTAGGCACATATTTACATGTTATGCCAACATGTGCCTGCGGCTCATTTTCAAAATGTAGATGAGCTGTTGACGTTGACAATACATTAGGTCAGGGGACATCCAAGTTAAGGCGTGCCGATCAAGATGATTTCTAGCTGACCCGCATTATGAGTGCTCCCCCCTCAAGACGAAGTTCAGTTGAAGCGGTGTAGTGTGCAGTGGTTTGCCGAGGTGTCTGAGAGAAACGCAACTAATTCGAATTACACATTACTTCAGACACCTTTTTGACTAACAGGCACGAATTTGTATGCCAACGTGCGTTCACCCCGGTTAACAGCGTGCATGAGGTGTGCGTGGTTGTAGGCTAGGGGAAATTCCAGTGAAGGTGTCTCCATAATTATGAGATCTAATAAAAAAAAATTGCAGCAGAGGTTCGTGATGCTAAAAGGATTTGTGCCTATTTTTTGCTTGATGTGATAATATCACGTGCGAAGACACAACGATCAATGAATATGAAGCAATAATGCTTAATGGAGGTCAATTTTATGTTAAGTATACTTCCACTAAGATCTGCTGGTACTTTGGATAAGTATATCATTCTTATTAGCCATCGATCACTTCCCCATGGAGAGGAAAATAATTGGCGGCAAATAGCACTGCGTAATTGTTTACCACTTTTGTTACGTTCATTGTTTCTTTACCAAATTCGCAGGTAAGTCCAGAGTAACCAGGAGCACAACTGCAGGTGAAATTTGTAGAAGAACTGGTGCAAGATCCACCGTTCATACAGGGTTCACTGTCACAAGGCTCTGAGTGAAAACGGATTCAATTGTTCAAGACCTTTCTTCAGTAACAGAAATCAACATTATAGTATAGCTTCATACAAAAAAACATTGGAAGGCCTATCATCCCCACATCAAATAAAATGGCTCAAATGATAACACCCAAGCCAGTTCAATATATATTAGGGCGTTTTTCAACGATTTTTCCCTTTTGGCGGAGACGTACAGTACGCTTATGTTGAATATTTTTCTTGTGTATGCTGATGGAATGGAATTTGAAGAAAAGTATTGGCCCTTGCACTAACGCCTGTTGCACTTTTTTGGACGGGGTAAGATAATATTGCACCGACCAATGTGTTTCCATCGCCAAGTTTGATAATCACTGAGCACAAAAGCACCTATCTATATTTATAGAGGTTTTAATCAGATTCATTTTGCAATGTTGCACTGTATCATTCGTGAATGTTTATTCTTCGTCACTGCTTACCACATCGAACCCCAGCATCCTGGTAATGTCCACAGTTGTGGATCCCAACACCTTTATGTGGACAATTGAAGATAGTCTGTTCATCACCCCTGCAAGCAACATTATCAAGTAGTATCTCTAGTCCGTAGTTCCCTCCAAAGGCACCACCTGTAAGGGCTCGCACCGCTCGGGAGAAGCCCAGTTGCCGGCAGACGACTGTAGCATCGAAAATACCCCAAAAATCGTCGCAAACCGTTCCCCAACTCCCATTCAAGAACACCTCTACTCGGCCTTCGTTGGAACTTGAGCCGTCAACCAGTCTCACTGTTAATCACCAGAAAAGGCAGAAAGGTTCTACGAAAAGCTCTTCTGATAGACACCGGGATCATGGGCGTAAATCCCATGGCTTATGGGGGTATATATCCCCCCTTTTTAAAGTAAGGGGATAGGCTATTGAATCAACCTCCCCCCCCCCACACACACACACATTTGTGATGAGCAAAATAATTAAAGCTGATTGTGAAGAATTTTCTGGATTTCCCTACGACTATAATGTTTGGAATATAACTAAGAGGAGAAAATAATTTTAAAAAGTCATAAATATACTATTTTGATATACGATTCCTGAACAATGTCCATTTATAGGATGTATAATGCCCCCTTCCCCGTTTTTCAAATGTTCATGGCCGGGCAACTTACTGCTCCCCTTTCCCCATCCCCCAAATTTCCAGCACAGATTTACGCCTCTGGCCAGAATAGTGTTATTAAAGTTGAAAATGGTTTGTAGGGCGGCCTCCTTGCATAATTTGAAGACATTTCCACCAGAATGGCATATTCATGGCTTTTAAAAATTGTTTTCCCTTTTTATTTTAAGCATTTGAGTTATTGGGAAATCAAAAAAAAATATTCACAATCCACTGAAACGTTTCGCTTATACAAAAAATGAGGGATAATTCAGTAGCACATACCCCACGTCGAAAAAAGAATAATACTATAATTGCCTAGTTGAATTGGCTCCTTGTTAACCTGGACTTTTACCCATGCAATCATGTTTTTACCTGAGTGGTCACATATGACGCCTGCGTCTTCACTATGAGTACAGTTATGAACACCGACCCCACTGTGCGAACAACTGTGGAGGTCGCTTTCGAGACCGGTGCATGCCACATCGTTCAGGTGGATTGGACCGTCACCAGCTCCAAACGATCCTGCCGGGATAGCTTCTATGGCGCCGGGGAAGCCAAGCTGCCGGCAAGCCACCTGGGCGTCCTGTCGTCCCCACGAGTCGTCGCATACTGTACCCCATACTCCGTTGAGAAACACCTCAACGCGACCATCTTTATAGCTGTTGCCATCAGCAAGGCGAAGTCGACCTAAATGTCAAAATAAAATGCACAACAGGTGGAGATTGCGTTGTTATTCCTACATCAAAAATCGTGGCAAACGGGAACACGTATTTGCTAGACCTAAAATGAATACGTTATGTGCCTTTGAGCTGATCAGTTATAATAAAACAAATGCATATAAAGTGGTTTTCAGAGGTTTGAACCCCAGAAGACTAGATATCTTAGGCGTTTTAAAGTAACTAATGGCTCCTCTTAACCACAGCTTGACGAACTGTGGGGTCAGGCACATCGAAATTTGATTTCTTCGTTATCAGTTATTTCTATCAAAATATCAGGCCCCCTTACAGTGCTGTATATCCCCCCGATAAGGCGTTTGCAATTAACTGAACAGTATTGCAGGCACAGTGCATCACAAACTAGCTACTTGCTAGAATTCTCTAGTCAGACATGTCCAATTGTAAGCATGCACGTTTTTGGTAGAATATTGTAAGACTCCTGTTTAGTTGTGGGTACTCCCCTTCTGCTATCTTTTTTTATCACGTTTTACACTTCCGAGGCAAAAACCATTACGTTTTCAGCTTACCACACCGAACTCCTGCATCTTCAGAGTGACCACAATTGTGATTCCCCAGTCCTGGATGACGGCAATCAAACACGGTATCTTCGTCCCCGATGCAAGCTACGTTATCCAGCAGAATTTCAAGTCCGTAACCACCCCCGAAGGCAGCCCGGGACAGAGCGTCCAGGGCCCCTCCTAAGCCAAGCTCACGGCAGACGACAGCGGCGTTCATCAGGTCCCAACGATCGTCGCAGATGGTTCCCCACACGCCACCGGAGAACACTTCAACACGCCCTTCATTCGATGTCGAGCCACCCACTAATCGGACTTCAGTGCAAACAAAAATCAATAATTCTCCAACAGTGACAAACCAAGAGATTCCTTATCGTCTTCATTAATTTTAGATGGTTTGTACGAAGTTAAAAGTGTAGATAGATTGGAATACTAAAAGAAGAAGCTTTTATTTGAGGGGATGATTATTTTTAGACAGTGTTTAATTCTGACGAATGGCATCTGGGTTTTACCTGCAGGCTCGCACACAACTCCCACGTCATTTGAGTGATCACAGTTGTGTATTCCTATGCCAGCATGTACACAACTCTCCAGGTTTTCTTCATCACCAGTGCATATGACATCGTCGAGATAAATTGGGCCCGTTCCATTTCCAAAAGATCCACCATGAGTTTCCCGGATAACACCAGGGAAACCGAGCTGCCTGCAGGCTACTTGGGCGTCCTGTAGGTCCCACAGGTCACCACAAACAGTGCCCCAAGTGCCGTTGATACTGATTTCAAGCCTGCCTTCGTAACGGTTACTTCCGTCTACCAGACGAAGCTCAGCTGCAGGGAATATTTGGATTCAACAAAATGGAAATTAAAAGACTGCATGTGCATGCAATCAGAGTAAAGCGAAATGTGACTTCCTTTAACCAATATGTAATTTTATTTGTCTCAGGAAGATTCAATTCCCGAATTTGCAATCGTACAGCTGTGGTAGGATTTTCATTTTTTAATACACGCCACATCAAGTCCATAAAAGATGCAAGCAAAAACGGTTACTTGCTTTTTAGGATGCATAATACCCTACAAAACAAAGACACTCAATACTGAGGTAAAAAAGGCAAAGCATCACCGATCTATGAGTTTTTCCTTTAAAACCATTTACATGTAAGTCTTTATCACAAATAGGTCATTTGAGAGACACTTTGTAGTACATTTTTCAACCTTAGGGAGACATTGGTCTTTAGGGAGACATTTCAATTGTCTCCATAATGTTCCAATTACCAGGAGGAGGCCAAATTTTATTTTCCAAGTTTTGACAGATGATAGATTAGGGTCTAAAATGAAAACACACAAAGTTTGGTTAAGGTCGGATTAGGGAATATTGAATTATGGGACAGTACAGTTGGAAAGATTTTGTTCACATTCTTATGGGAATGTCTCCCTAATGACCCACTTCGGTAACCATCGTAAGTCCTGTCACCCGTCCCTTTATGTTCAAAACGGACAAAGGGGGTTTACTATCGACACCACGTGTGTTTTTGTTATTCATTCATAATAGTTTAAGCTTTTGCCAAATCTGATATTACCAACGGCACAGGTCGGTCCACTAAAACCAGCTGGGCAGTGGCACGTGAAGCCAATGGTGGTACTCTGGCAATTACCCCCGTTCATACATGGTCGGCTGTCACAGGGTTCTAAGTGATAACAGCGATTTAACACAACACATTCATTATTTTCTCTAAAGAGGTCCGTTTTAATACGCCCTTAGAGGTAAGACGTATTGGGGCCAACCTCCCTTTCTGAATATATATTGGTGATTTGCAAGCTTTCTTGCGAATGGCAAATGTTTTAATTGTTCTTCCACTGTGTAAAACAATGGTTATTTCTGTTTTAGGCCCCCGAAGAAAAAAAAACATTTTGGGGACCTGTCACTATTTTTTTCTGTCTTGTGATCAGTCTTTTCGACAAAAATACTTAAAGAGAAAAATCCTTTGAAGTCATATGCCCTCAGTGAATCTTCATTTCAAATCAACCCAGAGCGTTATTTGTGGTTGTCCACGTTTTTACGCGTGTTTGCCTGTAAGCGGGGTACATTTCAGTAAAAATTTAACATTTTTGGCCGACGTGTCCTAGAAAAATGAAATTGTTTGAGATATCTATGCATAATCAATTTTCACACAGTTATTGCCGAGATGACTACAATCAAATGTGACTGAAAACACTCAAGATGGCTTAAAAGGACAACGAAAGGCATCGTGTCACAATTGGTGATTATGGAAACAAATGAAAAAGAAACTCGACTAACTTACCGCACCTTACCCCCGCATCATACGCATGTGAGCAGAAAGGAAACGATGAGAATGCCTGCCTCCTGTATCCACAATCTATAAGTGTCTCATCGCTTGCAAAACAATATCGACTTGGCTGTAGTATACTCAGCCCAAAGTTTCCACCGAAGGTGCCCCCGGGTACAGCATGAACGGCTCTGGAGAAGCCCAGTTCCCTACATACGATTCCTGCGTCGATGATGTTCCAATCGATATCACAGATGGTCCACCAGGATCCGTCCCAAAACACCTCAACGCGTCCTTCGTTTGAGCTCTGGCCGTTTTCCAAACGAACTTAGAAAGGAAGGAAACCTCACAATTTTTAAATTCTGAGTCATAAATGGGTAAAAGTGTCACAACACACACTGCACTGAAGCATGACTGACACGGCAACATTTAATTAATGTGGCATTTGTTCATTCATATAAGAGACTTGTGGGTACTTGTATTTTAAATAGCAAAGTTTGGCGGGAAATCTGCAGTGTCACACAGGTTTGCATGACATATCAACCGGACTAAAAACGGTGCATATACTCAAAGCATAGTATTAAAACAGCCGGTGCAAAAAAAAAAAAGTAATTGGTTCATTTTTTAAGCAGCCAAAAATTTGATAGTCCTCACTTCTATACCAACAAATAAAAAGTATAAAAGTGTTTTAAACTGTGATCTAGTAGATCTTTCTCTTTATTTGACTTCACTGAAATACAATACCTGCACGGGAACATATCACGCCTGCATCCTGGCTGTGAGTGCAATTGTGGGCTCTATTCTCATCACGTGGACAACTCTGAAGACTACTATCGAGCGAGGAACACATAACACCGGTCAAATAAATCGGCCCAGTTCCTCTTGGGAAAACACCACCTAGGGTAGCGTCGATGGCACCAGGAAAGCCCAGTTGCCTGCAAACCACCCGGGCCTCCTCCATCCCCCATGAGTCATCACACACTGTGCCCCATTCGCCACTGAGGAAGATCTCAACCCGACCTTCATTGCGGCTGTTCCCATCTTCAAGACGTATATTAGCTAATATGAAAACAGAGATTAGTTAGAACCTTTTCTTGCAAGAACCTTAAAACTTGGCACTCGGCTAAATTCGATCTGGTAAAATTACCTCTGGATTTTTTGTCTGCGGCAGTTTTTGTTAATCCTATGAATTTGGGACGACGCCTTTTTCAGAGTGGCTGTTGCTCTCACTAGTTCTTTAATAAAACCTAGACCCAGACCCAAACCTGTAATAATGATTACTACTTTACTCTTACTATTTTATTTTATTGAGCAACACCAAATAATTAAAAGCAGTCAACTGACGAGCACGCATGTCAGTGAAATTTCTCGAGCAAGATTTAAACTTTGTAACAGGAATATATAGTCACAAACCAGTGGTATTAATGTATCGAATGCACTTCCTGTAACGTTTTAGTTTTTGCTTTGGAGGAAAATGAGCTAATCTGAAAAAAAGATTAGGGCATAACTGCCGACTCACCACAGCTGACACCTGCATCCTCAGAATGCGTACAGTCGTGATTCCACAGACCTGCATGCTGACAACCGAACAACGTCTGCTCATTGCCCTGACAGTTCAGATTGTCGAGAAGAATATCCAGCTCCCCTGCCGGACCAAAAATCCCACCCGCCAGGGCATGCGCTGCTTCGCCAAACCCCAGCTCTCGGCAGACGACATTAGCATCAGTGGAGCTCCAGCCATCATCGCACACGGTTCCCCAGACACCATTATAAAACACCTCCACGCGTCCTTCATTAGTAGTTGAGCCGTCCACTAAACGAACTTTTTGAGCAAGCGAAATTATTTGCATTTTACTTTAAGTTTCAGCTTTGAGAACGATTTTCAGTTTCCTTGGAACAGAAAATATCTCCAGCTTTCGACAACACTCATGATTCAAGTGTTCTTAGAGCCAAACTTTGAGCTAACCCAGAACATTTTATTTAAATGCACAGGCTGGCTCTGAGAATATTAACGATGTAGTTTAAACTAGGCTACTTATGATGGAAGGGGGCCATACTAAGAAACAACAATCTCGTACGCACAGAAAAAAAATTAAATTCTAAAATCTGTTTACAGACCACTAAAAATTCTACTTAAATTATAAACTAACAGCAAACTGAACAAAGCCAGAAAAACAGAGAGAAAATGATCAATTCAATGGCCTGCTCACACTTCTTGGCACCAAGGCCACTTGTGCGCATGCGTTCATATTTACTAATTTATTAGTGCTCATGTGCATCGATACCAAATGGTCTTCTTAGCAGTGTTTTCATACAAATCAAACAACCGGTTTAACACATTGTTTTCAAGAGTTAGGTGGATTACCTGCAGAATTACAACTGACAACTGCATCCATGGAGTGATTACAATTATGGACTCCGATTCCTCTGTGCTGGCAACTCTCCAGACCGTTTTCATCACCAATGCACGAGATGTTGTCGAGGTGAATCGGCCCGAATCCGTCGCCGTATAAAGACCTGTCCGGCGCAACCTCCATGACACCGGGAAATCCCAACTGTCGGCACGCCACTTGAGCTTCCTCCAACCCCCACAAGTTGTCACAGAGCGTGCCCCACGTACCGTTGAGGAAGATCTCGATCCGGCCCTCATTACGGGTTCTGCCTCCAATAAGGCGGAGTTCAACTAAAAGAAGATTATTGGCAGGAGATAAATACAGCTGTTCGAATGACGAATTTCTCGAAGCCAGCAAACCTAACCATCACAAACGTTTGAACTGACGTTGTCTCTTCTTTGGGGGAATGAAATCAATCCAATGTTCCTTCGACTAAAGAAAAACTTTGCCTCAAAAAGAAAGAATGCTCACAAAATAGCATAGAGACTATTTATATTTCATTTGTTTTATCGTCGCTTACAGCACAATTAAAATCAAAGGAAACTGATTTGTAAATAATTTTTAAAAATCGTCAATATAATTAAGAAGTAGATTTCTCTAGTGAAAGACTATGTTGCACTATGAGAGCTATAATTAAAAACAAAAACTTGATCACTCCATAAAGCCCCTACCAATTTCACAGGCTGGTCCACTGTATCCTTCACGACACTGACAGCTAAAGTTGCCAGGGAAACTAGAGCAGCTTCCTCCATTCAGACATGGCATGCTGTCGCATGGCTCTGTTCACAAAACAGATGGACTAAAATAATGTTTCGTCAGAAACTGGCTGGGTGACAATGACAA